CATTTTGGCATCAATGATGACTCCAAGATCCTTTTCTGCCTCTGTACTGACGAGAAGGGAGTTCCCCAGCCTGTAGGTATGGTGCTGGTTCTTCCTCCCCAGGTGCAGCACCTTGCACTTGTCAGTGTTGAATCCCATCCTGTTCTCGTCCGCCCACCCCTGTAACCTGCCTGGGTCTGATTGCAGCCTATTCCTCCCATCTAGTGTGCCCACATCCCCCCACATCTTAGTGTCATCAGCAAATTTGAGAAGGTGCTTTTTACCCCCTCATCCAAGTCGCTGATGAAGATGTTGAACAGTGCGGGCCTGAGGACCGAGCCCTGGGGGACCCCACTGCCCGCATCCCTCCAGGTCGAAAATGACCCGTCCACCACCACTCTCTGGGTGCGGCCTCCAGCCAGTTGGCGACACATCTGACTGTGTGGGTGTCGACACCACAGCCCCCAGTTTCTTAATGAGAACGGGGTGAGACAGTGTCGAAGGCCTTCTGAAAATCCAGGAAGACGACGTCCACTGCTACCCCTGCATCTAATGATTTGGAGACCTGGTCGTAGAAGGCCACCAGGTTGGTCTGACAGGACCTGCCGCTAATGAACCCGTGTTGGTTGCCCCTAAGCATAATCTCCCCCCCAGCCCCTCACGACATGCGCCAGAATGATTCTCTCAAAAAGCTTACCCAGGATCAAGGTAAGACTAACTGGCCTACAGTTCCCCGGGTCCTCCTTCCTCCCCTTTTTGAAGATGGGAACCACATTGGCCTCTTCCAGTCCTCTGGCACCACACCAGAGCACCACGAGTGCTCATACAGCCGTGCCAGGGGTCCTGCAATGACCGCAGCCAATTCCCGCAGGACTTAGGGGTGGAGATCGTCCGGACCCGCTGATTTGAACACATCCAGTCCCTCCAGATGCTCCCTGACTAGTTCCTCCCTGACCCCTGGCGTTCAGGTGAGCCAGAGCAGGAGCCAGCCCTGAGAAAGAGCTATGAGGCCGAGGGTGGCAGGGCTGGGGTCTTTGCTACACGAGCCCGTGCACATTGGGCCCTGCACGGTGCCAGTGTGACTCCACTCCGCGAGACCGTCACAACCCAGCCCAGACAGGAAGGAAAAGGCTGTAGCGAGAGAGTTACCTGAGCATTTGAACGCTGTCAGCTCTACCGCCTGCAAAAGGGGAGAACATGGGTTAACTACCGCGAAGCCACAGCCCCGTCCCCCCAGCCACAGCAGGCCTTGTGCCCCGAGCCCTGCAGCTTGCTGGGACCTGGCAGTGGACGGTGCCAGACCATGCCCAGCACCCTCCCGGGGCTGCCCAGGCCCTCGGCAGGAGCCCGCATAGCACCCGGCGCCACACGACACCCCCCACCTGCCCTTCCACAAAGGCTCGATCTCACCAACACGGACCGAGCTTTGTTCAGGAGCCTTGAGCAGTGGCCAGAGGGACCAACGAGCCCAAAAGCAGCTCTGCACAACCGATGAGGGTCTCTGAAGGGCTTGGCTACCTGCGCGTACGTTCCTCGGAGGGCAACCCTGCCTGCTCTACATTGCACTGCGCTGACAGCCTAGCACGTGAACCGAACATGCAGAACACGCCGTTTCCAACATTTGACCTTTCTAAATTCAGCCCTTTGCTCCTGGCGAGCGCCGGATCTCGCAGCACGGAAACGCTCGTGACGAGAGAACATGACCGGGCTTCTGCAAAAAGTCCCTTCTGAAGGCAAATGAGTATCTGCAGGAGAAAGCCTCTGCTGTCCTTCCTCCCCCACAGAGACGCATTCGCACGGGCAGGCAAAGCTCCTGTTTTGAATTTATATTACTTAGAAAAGGGAATGAAAGCACATTAATGCAGGTGCTTAAGTAACCAAGAAAAGAAGTGCTGGGTCACCGTAGCACCGCATCCAGCTAATTCTGTCTTTGCCTTTAGTCCACCAGCTAGGAAATGCTGTGGCCTTGGCATTTAAGAGATCTACAGTCTCCTGTACTAATGCTCCATGCATTAGACGACTCAAGCCTCCTGGTTAATCTCTTTAGCCCATGTCTCATATTTTGTGCCAAGTAGCTTAGCAATGGGCCTCATTTACACAGCCAACACCTGGCCCATTCGGAAAAGCACCTACTGGAAATACTGGTGGGTAGTTATCACCAGGGAGAGCAGGAACATTAAACAAAAAATAGACCATGAGAGCTTTGCTCCAAAACAATATGCAATATCTAAATACTCCTCTGTAGTGCTTCACGTCTACGGAGGCAGGGAGGGTGTGAGAGTAAGGTGAAACTAGTCGCACACAAATGAGTCTCCCCTCCAAGGTGCCGGCTGCTGAGGTTTGCACAAGAGGAGCTGCCACGTGGGGCATGAACCAGGCCCGGAGCCAGAGCGTGGTCAGCCCGCTCCAGACAGCTCTCGAGAGCTGCGGGAGCGCCCAAACCTGCTCTGCCCTGATGGGTTTCAGCTGGCGAGTCAGTAGCGGGGCGTTCGGGCTGCTCAGGCTCACACATGTCACCGGGGCTACCCCGGGAGGTCGTTCCCCGCCGGCACGGAGCAGGGAGGAACCCACCCGCGGTAGCAGCCGAGCCGAGGACAGGGGCAGGCCGGCCGCGGCACAGAGCGGTGGGTATAACCGAAGCGTAGCACGGTTTCTAGTGCATGCGGGCCAGCCACGCTCTGCTAGTCTTGCAGCCTAGCAGACTTAAGAGCAGGGCACCCTTTCCCCTACGGTCATGGGATCGTCCGAAAGTCAGGCTGGAAGGGATTTCCCAAGGTCATCCCAGCCAGCCCCCTCGCCAAGGCAAGATCACCCCTGCCTAAATCACGATAGTTGCCATGGATGACGATCCCATATCTTCTCTAGGCATTTGCTCCAGTGCCTGGTCGCCCTCGCGGTCCGACCGCTCCTCCTCATCTCCAACCTCAGTTTCCCTTGTTGCAGCCTGAGGCCTTTGCCTTGTCCCCTGCGATTAGCCTCTCTGTAATCATCCTTCAAGTATCTGAAGCCTGTTATCAAATCTTCTTCTCCAGAGGAAATAACCCTTTCCCCCGAAGTCTCATCTCTCAGGCCCCAATCACTTTTGTTGCTCCACGCTGGACTCTTTCCAACCTGTCCACGTCCTTCTTGCAGTGCAGGGCCCAGAACCGAACGCAGGACCCCCGGTGTGGCCTAGGTGCTCACAGCCTGCAGGTACGCGAGCACCGCCCTTTTTCCCCGCGGGGCTGCGTTTACCGGGGTAAATTCACGTCTGCTTTTGTTTTCCAGCAGTGGGTCTCCTGCCACGTGCAGCACACGCGTTGAACAAGACACAGGCATGTGGCTGCACCTGGCGTGGGGCTGCACTGCCGGGGCGGCAGCTCGTTAGCGTCATGGAAATGTAAAGAGCTAGAGCACACTAAATTGGCCGGGTGCTGCTGATCAGCACGCACATACACGCTCAAACTCTGCTGCGTGCCTGGGGCTTTTAGGCTGTACCACATTCTTCTACATTTTAACCCAAAGCATATTTTCACGGAGGCCTTGAAGGGCACTGACTCTCCTTCATGAAACCCCTGAGAAGGAGGTAACTACCCCCATTTTGCACGTGGAATAACTGAAGCGCAGACAGATTAATTGACTACCTCAAGGTAAAAAACAAGCCCGTGGCACCGCAGAGTCCCGAGCGTGAGCCTTTTGCTCTCCCCACCGGACAAGACGCTTTGCTCCGTGTGTCCATGCAAAGAGGAGAAGACCTCGAGGCGTTACGTACCGGTTTGTCTGGTGACATGATGGATGAGATCCCCATAGGAATTTTGGCACCAAAGTTTCCTGAAGTGGGAAGGGATACAATGAATGTGGGTGCACGTGCAGTCCTTCCCCAGGACCCTCCGGTTTCCCCCCAGCCGCGCTGTCTGAGGAGTGGCCAGGGAGCTTGAACCGGAGAGAAAGGTTTAGTTGGAAGATCCAAAAAACCCATTTCCCAGGCCAGGAAATCGACTGCAAAATGCAACCCTGCTGCTCTGCCTCCGGGGAAGGCCCTGCTGGCGTCATGGATGGAGGAACCCCGCTCCTGCAATGCGTGCAGCCTGGTAGACCCACGCAGGGACCGCAGCCACCGAAGGAAGCCAGCTTCCCTGGGAACACAACCCTGTATTTGGCCACTGGAGAGCCTCTCGCCCCCGGGTGCAGCGTGACCCCAACAGCATTGCCATTACGCTCCATGGCCGCGGTGCTGGGCTGGGTTCAAACCTTTGCCAAACAAACGTGCATTGAAATCCAGGCGGGCTTGCGCTCACCCCGACGCCCGAGGAGGCTCCTTACCTTTGTGGGTGATGTTCTTCAGTGGCGGGTCTTTCTGCACAGGGGATGACGCGATGCTCTCGGGGGCAGAGGGGTTCAGTCTGCCCATCTCCCAGGACGCCGTGTTTCTGGGACTCGACAGATAGTTGATGGGATGCGAACAATTCTACGACAACAAAGCGACGACACTGGTGATGCGCTCCGGCCCCAGCGACACGCGTCCGAATCGCCGTGATGCTGCTACCCGAGCCTCCGATCCCGGGCAAGCAGGGGGCTGCTCCGTGTCCACGGTGGAAGCGGTGGTTGCCACCCTCCCCATGCCACGCAGGACAGCCGTGAGCAGCCCTGTGCCCCTGACGAGCACCGCGCCGCGTACACTCTCTGGGCCAGGCGGCACATAGAGGACCCCGGGTGCTCAGTGGGATTGGCACATGTGCAGCTGAAGGGGCATCGGGGCCCAACCCTGGATTTAAAGGGAGTCGGAGGAGTGATAGCCAAAGGAGTTAAGCGCGAGAGTCTCCGACAAACAAGAGCTGAGACCCAGGCCTTTTGCGTGGCCCGGAGGTCAGCCCTGTGATGGAGCCTGTCCATCATAGAAGCGTGAGCCCGCTGGGTCTCCCCAGAGCCCCTCATCCGCTCCATCGGTCCCGCCACCAAAGCAGGGCCCCCTCCGAGGCCACTCACGGTGAACGAGAGCGCTTTCTTCTTGTCCTTCATCCTCTGTATGGCGTTCCTCACCTGCAAGTGGAGCAGGGCATGAGACAAAGCCGGGGCAGCGGGCTATATCCACACCTGTCCCAGCAGCGAAGGCCTGGGCGGTGCGTGCTGAGTCCCCAGTTACTCTTTTTATTGCTAATACACAACTGCTCCGACCACGGACACCTCTTACCTCGCTGTTATAGAGGGCATAGACCAGGAATATATACAGGCCCTGGAAGAGAGGGAGACAACACAAACAGTTACAGGCATGAAAGGGACTCAGAACAGGTTTCTGCTCCGCAAGGGAAGACGTCGGTACAGCTCCGACTTCGGCTCTGCCTGATGGGAGGAAACGGGTCCAGGCTCGGATGCTGAAAACTGCATATTACTCTAAAGCTAAAATCTGCTGGGGCCAGACTTGTAGAAGGGAAAAATAACCCAAGACATGAGGGCCCATGGGAAATGGGGTAAGATGGGTTTTGCCAATGGTGGATGGTACCAGGCTAGTCTGATAAGACCACTGGTTTTCTGCACCACGGAGATGTGGTGGATCTCATCTCTCTGGAGATGGAAAAACCGAATCGCTACAGGGGCAGTTGTTGCTTACAGGGGAGAAGACATCTGGGGCCGGCTGAGGGAGTCCCGTGGGCTCCCCACCGTCTCTAAGCCCCGGTCCAGTGCTTCATTAGCGGGCGAAGCAGAAATGCCTCAAAGCACACGTCTGATACAGCTGCCTCCCTCCAACCCCAGATGTTTCAGCGCTGGGCGAGGGATTCGGGGTGGGAAGGGCTGACATCCCGGAAACTCCCTTTCCGTCGACTGAAGTCAGTACAAGGCGAGCGGAGCAGGGCAGGGCCTTTGCGCCTCTTCGGGGAGCTGCACCCGCCTGTGACGCATCCAAACCTGCCCGCTCCCGGGGCAGCGCAGACATGCAGATC